TTGTTAAAAATATGCATTCACGTGTGTGTGAATGCCTAGACGCACTCACACACACTGCTCTGCATTCAAATCAATCCCATACCTCTGTGCCATTTCCCACACTTGGAGTGATCTCATGGGACGATATGGTTCAGCTGTTGCCCCACCCTTGGTGGCTTAGTCCTTGTGTGACTGATTTGCTGCTATTTTAGCCATTGCAGAACAACAGGGTCCCTCTAAATTGTTTCCTGAAATAGGCTGAATGGAAAATAATTATCATGCCAGCAACTGCATTGAAGTGCTGCAATTGCCCACAGATCAAAGACTCATTCAATGGGAACTTAGCTGATGGAGAACTACAGAATAATCTTTATAGCTCTATGTTAGGAAACCAAGTAAAAGGCATGTTTTAGTTCTGTTTCTAGGATTGCTCGTCAGTGAGCACTGGATTGTCTAAATGCCACATATTTTAATGACATTTTTTAGTAAAAATTTCAGGTCAGCTTTTCTGATTTTGCCCACTGGGTCTCTAGTGAATTTGATTATTATTTTCATTATTTAATTCTGAAGTTTTTATTGAACTGCAGGTAGGTAGTACCTAAAGATAGAATTAGGGCCCAGATTGCCAGTGTATTACTGGTTTACAGAGATATACAACTGGTTATGGTGTGTTGAGACTAAGTCTAACATTACCTTAAAGTTTGCTGCAAGTGTTCTGCTTTGGTAGACTCTTTCCATTGTTTAAAATTTCAAGAGTAAAAATTTATTTTGTTGATTTTTCAGTTTTGTTTTCTGATGGAATTTTAAATTTTAAAAGGCTGTTTTGTAGATTCTTCTCTCCTGAATCCCATAACTGCCAGCCCTTATTTGTGACACACATTTGAAATCTGTATAGAGAGTTTTCCTTCCCTTGCACAGAATGCTCCTCATGGCTGGGTATATGTTTTCCTCTGGCTCTCATATGAAGAAGTATTTTTGTCAGTGCAACTTATAAGCTTGTTTGAAACTGCTTAGACAAGCAGTTATAGCAGTAAATATAAAATGCACATTGGTCCTTGGAGCTAGTCTTCTTTTTGATGATGAGCTCTATTTTATACCAGTAAAATAATCTGTTCTTTTGTGATGTTCCTTACCATGGAACAGGTAAAGTTATACTTTCAATTCAATGATATTATCTATCATGGGTAGGGACCTTGTATTTTACATACTCATTCACTTATTTTTTTTAGAATCTACATTTCTGCAAGGTAATGAACAGGCAATTTTTAGATTTTAGGTTGTGTATGCCTAGGTAATACATGTTCTTTCATCTTGTTTCTTTTTAGCTTCTGTCTTTGAGTGCTACCGAAAAACACATTCCAGAGTTTTGCTTATTTTCGTCAAAGCCAGAAGCTTCTGAACCAGTGAAGGATTTGTTTCATGCTGTGTCACAATTTTGTGTTGCCATTGTTAATATGACAACATGATGATATGAGGTTTAGATTGGATTTTGGGAAAAGTTTCTTGCTCGAAAGGGCTGTCAAGCACTGAAACAGGCTGCCCAGGAAAGTGGCTGAGTCACCATCCCTGGAGGTCTTTAAAAGACATGTAGATGTAGCATTTGGGGACATGATTTAGTGTGGACTTGGTAGTGCTGGTTTAACGATTGGACTTTATGATCTTAAGAGTCCTTTCTAACCCAAATGATTCTATGATTTCCCAGCTGCATTTATGTAGATTGAGATTTAGGACAAGACTGGTCTGACCTACTTGGATGTGTGGAAATGCAAAAGGGTTTTGGATGTTGCTACCAGTAGAGTGAGGAGAGCATGAAGTGTAAGCAGATGCAGGCGGTAGTAGGGGAGGGGGCAAAGAAACCACTAAAATGTACTGCAGAGCTCCTGAATAGTCACTGCTTCCTGTTACAAGCTGCTCTTCTGGCAGAGGTGAGCCAACTAGAGCTAGAGCATTAACTCTGCCCTGGTTAGATGCCAGACTACATTGCGGTAAAGTAGCATACCCAAAAGAATACTTTTCTTTCCCAGAGTAGTACGAGAAAGTGAAAGAGAAGAATCAGAGTACTAAGGATTTCTGATGTTGTGACTCTCAGCCTGTTGGTGGGAATATTTAGCTACATACTCCAACTGTATAGGTTGTGTCAGGGTCAGAACTGTCTTTTGCTTCTTGGAAAAAAAAATCAGAAACTGAGATGGAAAGAGACTTTTGTTAACAGTAGCAGAAATTTTCCCATGGTGGCATCTGGTTCATGATTTCTTAGCAAAGTAAACTGTGCTCTGCACAGTTGGCTATGTTGATCTAAGGCCTCCAGGGATTTGACCTGTCACCAGCAGAGAAGGCTATCATTTTTATGAAGTATTTCAGCTACCTCTGTCCTTCAGTCCGTTCCACCTCTCACTGTGGCATGGCCATTGCATCTCTTCTGTCCTTTCACTAGGAGTAGTGATGAGGATGGGATGGGTCACTAAAGCAGCTCTTTACTGACTATAAATGTGTATACAGGGAAAATTATTTCTGTTAAGATTCTTTCCAGAACCATACAAACCCAGATGTTACAATGGCAGAGAAACATGCTACTGGGGAATGAGACAGCACTGTGGATTATCATCATGTGTTTTCCCACTAGTACTCTCAAAAAGAAAGATATTAAATGCTGAAATACAAGAGCAAGCCAGTGGAGAATTAGGATCTTATTGGCATATGGCTCTATAGTCACTATACTGTGGAATGGAAGGATGCAGGGATGTAAAGGCAAGTGGCTAAGGAAAAAAATAACAAAATTTCCTAGATGAATTATAGTAATTTCTTGTCTGGTTCTCCCAGTATCATTGGGTGATCCAGTTTCCATTATTTTAGCTTCAGAGTGGTTATTTAATTGTGGAAGAGTCTCAAAATAGACCATCCTGACAGGATGCTTCAGCTGATAGACATGGCTGAGGGCATATTCAGTTTCCTACAGTAAAATCTCAACCATTTAAACTTTGACTGGAAAGTTTGAATACATCTTAGGACACACAATATAAAAAAACCCCAAAGCTATGTATTTATTTTCAACTTCTTCTGCAGTATTTTAAAATATATTTGCTACATTTTCTGAAGATTTTTAAGTCTCCAGTCAGGATCAGTAACAGGCACTACTGCAAAAAATATCAAAACAGCCCTGAATTCACTGACTGAACTCCCAGTGCTGCGAGGCTGTTTGTACAGGCAGACATTTGTGCTAGCAGTAAGATTCTTGCAGGACTGTGTCCTTAGACAAAAAGTAATATATCAAATAAAAGAAAAGGAACCAGTGAAACATAAATGGTCTTGCCATACATTTGTTTCTATTGTTACTATAGATGAGGATGTTCATAGCATCTAAAGGACTACATTTTTGGCTTCAGCACAACAAGCTGTTTTATGTGTGAGCTGTATGTAATTATATTGAAAACAAACTTTGCTTCAAGAACATTTTTGGCTCCAATGTGCAATAACACAAAGGGCCTTTGTTTGGCTCTCAGCAGTTATTTATGGATTGCAAAGGACTTACTAAAGGACAGTTTCATCTGATGGTATTCATCCATGGACTCAAATTTAAATGTAGTTACTTATATTCATATTAATCAAAATTACTTATATGATCAACCAGACAAAGATTTCTGAAACTAGAAATGGTATTGCTCTACAGATTCAGACCTGGAACAGCAATATGGAGTGGTTTTCAGATCCAAAGCTTTGAATGAGCCAGAATGGAAAACAACAAAAGGCTTTGCATAATTCACATCAATTATAATCATCTTCACTTGAATTGAAAATGAGGCTCTTGGTCTCTTAAATGGAAAAAAAAAAAGAATCACAGGGAGCAGAGGGAAAAAGGAATTTGGGAATTGTCTATTGGGAAAAAGGAATCCCAGGGCAAAGTGGGCTTCAGCCAGAAGATCCTATAGGACCTTAAGAAACTAGGCAAGGGCACGGTGCTTTCCTCTGACTTGCCTAAATAGCCATTACATTAAAAGATTACTTTCAGAAATTCTGCTTTCTTCAGATTTTTCCTGCCTGGCCTGTGGAACTTGGGAAGTATCCAATGACAACTTTCTGTTCAAATTCAAACTCAGCATGACAATGGACAAGCTCTTTAGGGCCATAGTCAGACCACTTGCTGTCAGTACAAACCTTTGGTTTTGCAACTGCTGTGGCATCGAGGTTTAAGAGTGTGCCACTCAGCAATTCAGAACACTGTTTTTACAAGGCCGGAAGATCCAGGTTCCGGTGGCACCAGTGGAGGAAGTGTTTATAGTGAAGTAGACTTAACGTGAGCCAGTATGAATGTAGCCCCTCTTCATTCTTTTGCTTTGGCCTCCCAGATGTTGAATAGATGGTCAGCAGTTTTTTACCTCACTGGTTTCCTGTAAAATTAAAGACTTTAAAAGAATATGGAGCACTGAGGCATTGCAAGAGAGGAGGTTATATAAATGTAATCTAATTATATAAGCCTCTTCAGATAAATTGCACTTTCATTTCCATAGCCTTCTGCTACATGCTTGTTGTTTATTTGTGCTGTTAGTGGCTGTAAAGAATAGATGTTATTTGAGATGATGAATCCCAGTCTTATTTTCTTTTCTCAGTGAAGAATTTTGTTTGGGTCATGCAAACTGCAGGGTCACATTGATTCAATCCAAAATTGCAAACACTGAACGCTTCTAAACACTGAGGCCAGTTTTCTGAATTTCAAAATTTCTTTACTATAGCATTTCCCTCCTTGACATTTCCAGGATCCACTGGGACCTGTTGCCAGCATCTAACTCGAAGTTCGTTGTCACTCTACAGGAAATGACAACAGACACTGGATGGAAGGACCAAATTGGCATTTCACCAATACATTGTTTAAAACTATTCCTGGGCATCGTGCTGTTCTTTAGGTTTAACCAAATAGTTAACTGTAATAATTAAGTGTTAATTTATTCTGAACCAAAAGCACTGTATTCTAAGCAGGTCCTCACTGTTCTGAGTGATCAATTGCATTGTTCTGTTGTTTCCTTTAGAAACCACTGAGAGACAACGGGGTTTCATGTGGAAAATATTACTGTCTTTCCTGTGCAAGGAAATCTTGAGCTGTGAGTATTATGCATTTTATTATTTTAATAGATTCCATTAATCAGATAGATGAAGATTAAAACAAAAATGTCACTGTGTACTCCTCTAAATGAATGTGACTTTTGCTGGTTTTTTTGAAGATTGATGTAGAAAAAAACTTAAGAATGTTCTACCAGATGTGTCTGCAAAGGACCATTTATAGCTATAGATGCCAGTAGGACTGAATTAATGAGTAAGTTTGTCACATGCACAACACACATTTAGGCACTAATTTTAGAAATGAGGCCAGTATATTAGGACAAAAGTATGAAAGAGCTTTGCTTTATTAGAGTTATTACAGCTAACTAAATGGAGTAGGCTATGTTACTCAAAAATCTCTCTGTGCTTCAGATAAATAACTGTTAACCAGACACCCTTCTAAAACAGATCCTGTTCTAGCCAGACTATTAAGCTGAGCCATGAACAGTAAGACATACCCAATAATGAATGCAATCCATCCTTACTTCTAGAACCTCTGCTTTATTTAGCTACCTTAGGCGACTGTCTGTTTGCCTTGATCCTGGCTACTCAGCCGTGCTGCAGGGACTCACACCAGCCCAGAGGTCTGGAGTGAAACACATTGGTCTGTCAGCATTGGATGCTCACCTGTGTGATATGCCAAATTACTAGTAACCGAAGGAAATAGTAATTTAGATCTATGATTTTTCTGCATATATTAGTGAGAACAGAATAGCTAATCAGGTTTGCAGAAGATTTCTGAATGGTTTATGCGTGAAGCTTTGGACCAAGGGCCAAATCCTTGTTCAGTCAATTTTCTGCATACATTTTGAAAAGTGCTGGCAATTACTATTTGGACATACTCCTATGTGCTTTTTATCTCCAGCTGAGGACAACTTCTGGACACAGCTTTTTGGGAATACCTTAGGGCATTAAGCTAAATATTCTGGTAAAAGTTACAAGTAAAAAATCAAAAGTCTGAGTTCCTACTCTGTTTCACCTTGGGCAGTTCCTAACAATTCTTTTCAGCATAAGTAAAGCATAAACTGATTTTAATTCTTTACTTTCATACTTGTGTGCAGCCTTCCTTCCACAGGCTAGCATGACAAGACTGATGAACTATTTTAATTTTCTAATCAAAGGCAACTGTCCTGGCTACCCTCTCACACCTTTGCAATATTCTATATTCCCACATGTAGGAAGAAGCTGATGGGTAAGAGTCAGGTGTATCATCTTTATGACACACAAGGATTGCTTCATTTCTAGGCAAACACATCTAATCCACTTTCTGCCCTTTTGTGCTGCTGTATGAGTGTGAGCAGAATGGAGTATGAACAGCGTCAGGTCCAAAAAAAAAGCAGATTGCCTTTCAAGTCAATGGTGCAAATACTAATTATCTTTAAGAGTCCTGTCTGCCCAGCAGAACCAGCAGAACCAGTCACATTAAACACAGGCATAGCAGTATTAAATTATTTCTCTGAGACCAGAATGCTCATACCAATAGAAGAATTAGGAAAAACAGTAGAAAGTTTAAAGAACATAGCCTCAGTTTGCTGTTCAGTTATGGGGCAGTCTTGCCAGGATAACAGAATGAAACCTGGCAAGGTCTAGCCTTGCAGAAAGCAGTGGCTACAGAGGCCACAGCTTTTCACGCTTATCAAATCTAAATTCTGCCCTGTTGTGTGGTAGATGCAGTGCTGTCTAGCATTTAATATTGCACACAGTGCCTCTTTGCATCTATCCTGTCCCTGTTCCAGCTTTTTTCTCCACTGTCCCGTTCCTTGTAATTTAAAATGTTTGTCTACATTGTATGCCTTTTGATTGTTTAAAATAAAAGTGGATCTGGCTATTTTCAAGGAAAAACTTCCATCCAGTCCATTTATTCTGGCAGTAAAATAAGACTGAGACAACTGGAGATTTAATTAGCTTTTACAGTTCTTGTAAAGAAAACACTTCCTTATTAAGTAACAAGTACAGGTGTAATTAAGTCTGTTCTGAAATTAAGTAGGAATTAACAGCTGTTCTGATTTCTGTCTGCATACACAGGCCTGAGAAGCCATTTGAGGTTCTCCCTTACCCGGTGCTGTATGCATGCACGGAGCCGCCTGGAGGCAGCATTCACACAGCTTGCTACAGGCCTGTCTTTGGAAAGTACACTTTGCTGGGGTTTCATCATACAGAAAAAAGCTAAGAAGAAATTACATAGTAAGAAATATGATTTTTTAAAAGCCTTTTTCTTCAAAGGACACATCTTTGATTTTCCATGGAGCTGAAATACTGTGATGCTCCTGAGAAGTGCTTTGTTGCAGAAATGTTTGTAGGAAGAGCCAGCAGGATCTTCCAGCATACTAGCTGACATAATTCATACAAACATACAAGCTTTTCTTTATGGGGCTGAAGAACACTGTTGCTTGACCTAAATTATTGTTGAGTCTTTTTATTCTTGTTTTTTTCTTGGATGAAACTGACCTATTTTTTGTTTGTTTGTTTGATTGATTGTATAGAAATAAAAATTGATGATGGAATTTCCCTCCCACATTACATTTGTCACTTCATCTCTCTCTTCAATTGCACTGAAACAATGACATGTAAATGTTTGCAAATGAATGCTGCAAAACACTTTTGAACCACCCAGAGACAACTTGTAATGCTTGTAAAGCTTCGTTTGATGGGTGTTTGCTGTTGCTTTGTTAATTGTCAGATAAGAGTCATGCTTCTACCTTCCAAACACACATTTCTCAACCTGCTTGGAAATTAATTTCATAGCAACTACTGTCCACCATTATTGCATCAAGTCCTATTATACAAATTTGTTTTTCTTTTCATATATTCAACTTTACTGGACACAGAAGCTCTGAGGTGAAGTTGACCAAAATATATGGGAAGTCCATCTGCAGATTCCTAATGTTGGGATGTAATTGATTGCTATCTATCTCAGGAGTTGTACATATAGAGGTATAGTATACACCATTAGCAAAATTTAGTATCATTATTCCATAAAATTTATGACAAATACCATCTCTCTCAATAAAGTGGAACATAAAGGAAAGGTAGTGAAGAATTTTGTAGCAAAGCAAGTTGCTGAAATAATATATTTTATGATAATATTCTCCCCATCCTATTTCAATGGTGTCTATACTTAATGCAGGATTAAATGAGATTAGTTTATATTCAATATTTCATGAAGTCCATGGAGTAGAACAACATAGATATATGAATCCACTTCTTTTGATGTTTAGATTTAAAAAATGTCACTGAACCTGCCACTGTGTGTGTAGAAAAAGAAGGCAGAGTCACAAACTGCTTTAGAAAGAAATTTTGGTACCTGAGGATGTCAGATTTGGTAGGATTTTTAGAAAACTTTCTCTTCAAAAGAACAAGGGAAGAAAGTTATGTTTTCTGTAAATTTTGTTACTCCCAAATTTCCTTCTTTACAATAACCCTCTCCTTGCATTCCTGTGGTTTACAAATAATCAGGCCAACACCTGAGATTACACAGAGGGTCCTGACATTCAGCCTCATGAGTAAAGATTTATTCTTTGATAGCAAAGACTTTGGGTTTTCACTTCTGGATCTTCACTTCTGCTTGCAGGTAAAAAAAGCATAGAGATAGGAAGAGATCTGATGGAGGTGATCTCTGGATTTATGATGAACTATAGACTCAGAGGCCGCAGGGAAAGGATGAATGAACAAGGTCTATTCGATTGAGAGAGAAACAAGGAATGTATGTAAATCTTCAAACGTATGAAAGACTTCAGCAAAGATAAAGTGAAGAAATTCTTCATGTCTCCAATGAGCTGAAAAGAAATAATGGATTTAAATTCCATCAAGGAATATTCAAATTAGGAAAAACGTGTTAAGAATAGTGAAGTAACCAGACTGCCTGGCACTGGCATGGAAGCTCCATCATTAGATGTATTTCCAAACAGGCCTTAGGGTACCAAATACAGGAGCTAACCTTCTAAAGCCCCGTTCACTTCCTATCTAAGTTTTCAGATAGGCTTTCTAAGGAAACAAATCTCCTAGGACTGTGCTGTCAGCCTGTCTTACTTCTTTAACAAGTCACATAATTAACCATTAGAGGAGGGGCCTTGAGGGGAAGCTGTATGAGGAGAGACTGAGGTCACTTGGTCTGTTCAGCCTGGAGAAGAAGAGACTGAGGGGAGACCTCATTGCAGTTACAACTTGCTTGTAAAGGGAAGAGAAGGGGCAGGCACTGATCTCTTCTTTATGGGGACCAGTGACAGAACCTGAGGGAATGGCCCAGAGTTATGTCAGGGGAGGTTTGGGCTGGATATTAGAAAAGAGGTTCTTCACCCAGAGGGTAGTTGGGCACTGGAACAGGCTCCCCAGGGCAGTGGTCACAGCACCAAGCCTGACAGAGTTCAAGAAGTGTTTGGATAATATTCTTGGACATGTGGTGTGACTCTTGGGAATGGTCCTTTGCAGGTCTAAGGGTTGGACTCAATGACCCTTGTGGCTCCCTTCCAGCTCACCATATTCTGTGATTCTGTGAAAGCTGTAAAACATCTAACAGTTCCTATATGCCTCACTAAGATGTTACACAGAAAGAAATGGGAAATAAAGCTTGGTTGGCTTTGCTGCTTGGTGGTTTTTTGGGTTTGGGTTTTTTTTTAAGGCAGAGGGTGTTGGATTTTTTTGTTTCATTTCGTTGGGGGTTTTTTGTTAGTTTGGGGTTCTTTAGTGATCAGTGAAGCACCCTGACAACTTGTTTTTATCCCATTGTCAATTTCTGGATAAGCCCAGCCTGTGATATGAATTAAACAGGGAATGTATAGCTTCCTCCTTGGGTCAGATCTCATTTTTAATGTCTTCAAATCACTTCTACATAATTTTCATCATTCTTAGCATGTTAAAATTCATCCTTTTCAAACTGGGTATCTAAACATTCAAAAATCTTATCATCTTAATACCAGGTTCTTCAATATTCTGTGTTGTGAAGTCATTCACTTCAATACAAATTTTTGCATGTTTTGATGGTTTCAAAAAAATCAGCCCTAGCTACTTATATAGTTAGTGCATGATGGTCAAGCTGCATTTCTATGCCACAAGTCCCTAAATTGGTAATGATTGTTCAAAACATTTCTTTACCAGTTGTAGCCTGTATTTGAAGCCACTTTATCACACATATATCTTTAATGCTGTGTGCATTCTGGTGATGATGAAAGATCTGGCCTTTCTGTTTTACAGATTTTACATTATTCCACTTTCTGCAGAGGTAATGCCCAGATGCATTTAGAAAGGAAAGGAGTTTAATGTAGTGCATATATACTTAGATGGATGCTTTCCAAATAATCTACATTTTAAAATATCTGCTTTCTTGATTTGTCTGCTTTTGGCTTTCAGGCAAAATTTCCAGCTAGTATTTCAATCTGTTACAAGCCTGCGGAAGGGAGGTGGCTTTTTCTAAAATCTGTCTGCCATTAACAGTCTGAAAAGAATACCTGAAGTTCCCCATTGAAGTTTTGTATATTTGTTTCCTGAACTGTAGAATACCAGCGTGGACAGAAATAATGAAATAAGCTTATAAATAAAACATAGTTGAACTAAAGCTTTCAACTCTAACTTTGAGAATGGGATTTTCATGAAGGCCTTAATATAGAATGGGTGAGAATTACATTCTAGAGAGAAATCTAAGTTGTGTGGTATTTCACAAAAATAAACTATGGAAATGTGTCCTTTATGGGTTCCAAGTACAGTGGTACCCTTTCTATGAAAAACCTTCTCAACGAAATCAGTCTACAAATGTCCACGGGTTTTCTTAACTTAAGCAGATTGATATTTCCTAACAGGGTTTTTAATTTGTTACAGCTAAGATTGTAGAATGAATCAATCAGCCTTTTTTTTTTTTTTTTTTTTTTTTTTTTTTTTTAAGTAATGGCATGTTCTACTACTCATATAAACAGGAGTTATATTTTACAAGCCTTCGGGTTTTTTGCTATTTTGAGATAACCACATATTTAAAATGAGATTTCCAGAGATCAGATGTGTCATTTGAAAATTAGTTTTTTACTGGAGGTGTGTTGTTCTGTTTCAGCTCTCATGATTTAAGGTATGAAGATAATACAAAACTACTCCATCATGTTATTTTTAATTTATTTTACTTTTTTTTTAATTGCAGAGTAATTTCTTAAGACTTTTAGTCTCCAAAAGAGGAAATCTTGTGTACATGGTACCTTGAGACAAAAGCAGTGAGTTATTTTACATGTCATTTTCCTTTCCTAAAAGTTCTTTTAACCTTTCTCCCTGCATATAAGAAATTTTTGCAAGATCTCATTCTCCTTATGTTTTGATTGCTATTACAAGATGTATTTTTTATTTTCCTTTTATTCTTTTGAAATCAAAGAAGTGTTACAAATAATCGTGTGTCTGAAGTATTGGCAGCCTCTGTGTCCTTGCAGTAGTCCTCAACAAATCTTGAGGTCTGAGGAAGCTCCTACATAATCCCGAAGTGAAAACAGACTTTGGAGTTGAAGTCTGTTGATACCTTATTTAGAGATGGCTTTTTCCCTTTGCACATGTGAGTTGAGCCAATTACCACTTTCGAGGTATTTATGTGCCTACCCAATTAATGGCACCTAGCTAACCGAAACTCAATTATTATGAGAATCCAAACTTACTTTTGACTATGTATTCTCTAAACTATTTGTCCAGAGAAAGATTTTATTATCAAAGTTTGACATATTTATTCTGTAATCATATTCTTTCTGCATTTTGTCTCTTTCATTACGTTTTAAGAGATAAATCAGTAGGGTACTTGTCTGATTTTCTTGTGAAACATGAAATGGTCTGTAGATTAATCATTCTAACATTTACACAACTTCAGTGGATTAGATCTTCTGTTTCTGGAAGAGCTCCTTCAGCTGTTGTTCAGTCGTTGCTTCTTTCTGTTGCATCAGCTCCCTGGCTCCTTTGGTCACTCCCCAGCCATCTGGCTTTGACATGGAAGGACAATATGGCCTTCCTGAAGCAGGCTTCAGGTTATCCCAGTATTCTTTTCTTGCCCTAAGGAAAGAAAAGGAAATTCAGGGGCATTTTTTCTCAGCACCTCACAATACTGAAGGAAATGTGGCCTAAATGACCATTGCAAAGGGTCATCTAACCATATTTAAATACAGAGGAATGAAAGCATGCAATGATACATGTTTAAAAAGTATCTTTACGGTATTCTTTCCTTGAAAGGAATACTGTTAGCCACTCACCATTAGAAGCTGATCTACAGTACCCTGTCAGTTTTTCATCTTCACTTTCATGAATTATTTCACGAATTACTTTCACAAGAGCTCCTCTAGTGCTCCTTCACCCATTTCCCTGCTCCAAGATCAGCTTTAATTCCTTAAAATTATTAACACATAGAATGTTTACAGTGATATTTAGACCTCCATATGAGTTAAGCCAGTCTGCTGCATTGAGCAATATAAGCCTTTGCAAGAGGTGTGTTGGTGTGCTTTCCGGGTCAGATATACACACCTTGCTCTGACCCAGGGTTTGGTATGCATGCTCAGGTTACTGCCCCAGCTACCATGCTTCTCAGAAGCTTCTGGCAAAAATCCTCTTTCAGGAGCCAGCTCCTCAGCTATTGCTCGGATGTGATATGGCTCAAATCCACAGCAGCCTCCAATGAAACGAATTCCTAAGTCATAGGCCTTTCTTGCATATTTTTGAATGTCCCATCTGGTTACAATTCTTGGCTCCAGACCTGCAAAGACAGTCATATCTTAAGTTTCCACCGTGGTCCATTTCAACAGAGTTTTTGTAAGAAATCATGTTGTTGAAACACTTGCACTCTGTTAGCTAAAGTGATTGTAGATGTACCTGTTTGAACTGTCTGACCTAGAATTAATAATGCAAACTTTCAGAAGTCTAGCCTTCTGATTGCGCTGTGTTCTGCTGACCTGTGCTCGTTAGCATTTTT